CACGTTTTGTGTTGATTCAAAAAGTTATGGTGAATTTATAGGAAATTCATTTCACTTTGTTTCTGTGGTGAAAAAGAAAACTCCCGTTCAATTAGGAATTTCGTCTTATTTCGAAGTGTACTTGTGTTTTACAAATGGTGTATTAATTTATACGCACAAGTTCATCTTGTACTGGATCATTTACATGGCAAATGTCCCTGTTATAAAGAAGATTATTGTTCTTCCAAAAGCCCTTATTTCATTGCCTGTGACTTTTCCCTGTAATCCTGGTATTTATAATGTTTAACGTTTTAACTTAACATACAATGTTTCTCATTCCAGTAAAAATTGTCATGTTGAACACAACGTTCAGTACCAAAAGCTTATTGTAATGTAAATCCTACATCACTTGATACTTCCTAAAATACTTGGAGTATTAAAAAAACAGTATACATGTTTAACATTTTTGCATTTTAGTTTAAGAATATTGAAATTCATAGCATGTAACAAATACCGTTAGATTTTATACTACAAGATTCTATTATTAAATTAACTTGTCATATTAATAGCAAGAACCTCAACAGTGGTTCTAAAGTGTTATCAATTTAACGCTGATTTGAATATATGTCAAAAACAAGACAGATAGCTATCCCAGAAATACGCTTATTTATTAAAAAGAGCAATTTTTATATTACTGCAATAACAATATTAAAAATACAGGACACTATAAATTGGAACTTGATGAATTTATTTTTCTCAAATCTCCGCTTTGTTTCTAAAGGGAAAAAACTAACTCTCTTCATCGATTTTGTATATATAAAGCAACGTAGAGCATGGACATAATGATTTAGCTGAAAGTCGATATTCAGTTTTATTCCGTACTAATTGATAAAAATGCATTGGTTTTGTATTGTATTAAGCTAACAATGCTTACCAACTATGTCCATACTACAAGTATAATTATGACAAGCTGGAATGCTCTGATGAATTATGAATTATAAACATATGACTTATATGGCATATACAAGTACAAATACAACAAAATAAAACAGGAGACGTTGTTAAGAATTCTTAATGAATTATAAATGTTTATATAAATTACGTTTCAAACAGTTTAATTGAGACAATGTGTGTGCTTTCAATTGTTAGATGACAAATGAGAATAAAGCCTCCTTTGACAAGTAATTAATCGTCGCTTAGATTTCACTTTTTGGAGGTTTGAATGTCACATTAAGGCCAAATGAGCGTTTCCTTACTGTAAAGGTGAGAAATATACATAGTTATACCACATAATCTTTCGAGGATTTTTTTTTATCTAAAAAGGTTGAAGTTGTGCATGTAAAACGGTCAGACGGAACATGGCCATATTTCATCAAATGCAAATATACCTTTTTGATGTGAGAAGAATTAGATGCACTATTTAACACTTAATTTAGTTCCATGCCTTGAAATGCGACGCATGATGTAGGTAATTAAAATGAGATATATTCAGCAAAATGAAGAATTATAAAACAAAGGTTCAACCAGCACGACGCAAGAACATATGTCGACAGCTAAATCAAAGACTTCAAACATTCAAAATATCTTTATACATAATATGTTAGAGGTTTCCTTCTCTGTTCTACATGTTATTTCAATGGCACCGAGTTCGCTATTTTCCTACCATAAGGAAAATGATCATTGTTTTCAGGCCAATCCAAAATTCCGACCATTGTAGAAATTTAACAGTATGCTAACAAAGACCTTTCATATGACCTATACCTACGTTACAACATGAAGAGTGTTGATTGTATTATAATTAATACAATTTGTCTTGTTATCTAACTTGTGTGTATTTTCTTCTTTAAATTCTTTAAATCTGTTTGTCACTTCCTCTGTCAGTAGGGGTAATGAGAGTTGATATGAACACCGGGAAAGCTGATCTGTCAGTGTAATTGATCAGACGAAAATAAAAGAAAATAAATGACTTGTATTTTGAATTCTTTGCAAAAGAGGCACACAAGTTTAGCGTTGGATACAGATCAGTCAAACAATGAATATAACTGCATGTTAGGGTCTTAATTTTGAAGTCTAGGAGGTAATGAGGAAAATCCAGAGTGATAAAAAAATGTATACATTTAATTGGGAAATTGCACCAGCCCATAATTCTTAAAATTCCGGTGAATTACCGCAATTTTTTAATATCGTTAGTGGAAGCTATAAATGTCAGAAATATTTTACACTAGAAATCCGTCAAAGCGAACACCCCGCAAAGAAATCGCTCGCGTCAAAAATAACAAGAAAATATCAACACGAAACATAATCTTAATCCAAACTCAGGTTCGATAAAACTAGAGCAAAATATGAACAAACGGATGATTTACACCAGGACTCATGAAAGAGTGCAGCGAGAATAATGACAGGTGTCCCGGAAGAGTAAGCGTATTCTCCTTCACCAAATGATCATATAACCTTGGTCCATCTAAATCAGTAATGTCACGTTCTTAAATGCGAACAATGTTTACAACAACGGCGCCAACACGCAAACTTACGAGCATCAAACACGTCCAACTTCATATCGGACAAAGAAATAGAATATTCCTCAATGAGATCACTACGGCAACCACAAAGCGTCCACAAATTTCCATCAACCTGCACCGTTTGAAACTCTGTGTTACGAGTTTTGTGTTCTTGCACGGAAATCATAATAATTGAGCAAGCCTTTTTGTATCGAATCAATATAAATGACGTTGTCAGCTTTTTCTTGTTCTACCTCATCTCCTTATAGCTACGGTCTATGTGGGTTTATAGTAATTGCCGATTTTGATACGAGAGCTTTTCGTAAAGGGTATAAATATCATGAAACACCTCGCATTATTTGGAAAATGAATTTAAGACACTTTAAGATTCTGTCAAAACTATGTCAGATATCATTATGTGTTCATTCGTAAATCATTATTACAAAATAGCAACTTGATCACAAAACACATTTCTGGTTCTTCAGTTTGTGAAATCCACAATTTACATGGTAGGTAAGGTATTGTTCCTGTTGATATAGAATTAAGTAGCGTGATCCTTGTCTGCGGACATCAATACATTTCCTGCTTACATTAAAACGGCTTGCATGATAACGAAGGAAATTTCACTTGCACATTATGCATTTTTTTCAAAGAAGAAATACTGCCTAATGCTCCAATATTACGATAATTATGTTAAAGATGAAAAAGAGAAATTCAGCCGTTTATATTGATGCCAGATCCATGTAATCAACCTTCTATGCTGGCTAGTCTAGCTGTTCCGACCAACCTTTGTAGAACTTATAACTACCATTCTTCGTGCTATAAAAAGGGTTACAGTCTTATTGTTATGATGTGGGTGGATTTTAAAGAAATCAAAAGTCCTTTTAACCAATATCAACATCATCATTGAAACAAAAGTAGAAAACAAATCTTCTCTAAAGACATATTTCGACCCTGAACACCACCATACGAAAGGGAGAACGGAATCCTAAACACGATCGATTTTCTGGTTGACAAGCCCTTTCAACAGACATTAATTAGCACACCTACGGTAACTAACTGTGCCCCTCTCTTGGTTGACTATTTTCGTTTTCATACGATGTTGAATTATCGAAGAGCTCGTCAAAACAGATCAGAATGACATAGCAATGCCGTTTAATTTTACTTTCATATATATTGCTAACGTCTTGAATAAGTAGTGTCACGTTTCCAGGTGAGGACACGGTCAACAGCGTAATCAACAGTTATATGCGAAGGAGCATCACACACGTCAGACAAAATACTGCACAGGGAAATTCAAACTATAGAATACTTCCCAATGAGTTCATTATAACGACACGAAATTATTGTAGCCATTTGTTGGGGCAAAATGGTGCATAAGTAAACAAATTGTGAAAGTTAGAAAACAAGATATGAAAGCATATATTCCTTTCATGTTGAAGATCATTCGTGAAAGTTTCTTTTTCAGAGCATTTGGAATCTATGTTTTAAAACTCAGATTGAGGCTATTGCTACCAATGTTCAGCATTAATTACCGTCATTGTGACAATTGTGATATATGTTATATATTGCTGCTCAAAATATTCTTGGAATCATCTCGATAGATTATATGTCTTTGTGATACTTAATGATTGATAAATTTGCGATTAAGCGTTAATTAAGAAGGGAGCATGAATGCAATAAAATAATGATGTTATATTATAATCTAAATCCGTGATGGAAGACATTTCGCTGTTATACATATATTCATGTTATTATATCACTGCCAACGTAAAAACCAATTAATATCCAACATTTGTATTAAATGACATGGAAGTGGTTTCGTCTGACAAAACGTGTGTTTGCATGCTATCATTAATGTATGTCTTACCTTCTTAATGTAGGTCACTGATTAAAAAACAAATCAATCTTCACACACATCGTTATTTAAGTTGTATTTATATTATAATTATCTTTTTATTACAGGAATGACTAATTTGATATTATTACATGATTAATACCTTCATTTGAATAGAGACATGTTTTACGTTTAGCCGATATGAGCAAAATATTAATAAAACAAAATCCCCCAAAATACTCAAAAACAAAGCATTACATCGTCATAGATTACCTCAGCATCAGTGCTAATTATATTTTCGACAATTATCTTTTTATATTAGTCCATTCAAGTCCGTCTTGCATGAAAAATGCATAAAACACGATATCATTTCGAAAATATGAAAACAGATTCAATCAGTCATTGTTAGAATATGGAAGTCACATTCCGTAATCGATAGTCCGCGAGTATATCATCGAAGGGATTTAATTGTTCCAATATGTAAATAAGTCCATACGGACTGAATATTTCCGGCGATCAAGGTAAAGATATTTCCGAAAGGCTCAACCAATATAGCTAACAAAATTGAATATTTTTAATGTAACACAATTTGAAAATCCAATGACATTAACTTGTCAAAGGTGTATACGTTGCAAGGTGGTAATTACACACATAACATCTGGAGAAGTCTTTGGAGTAAAAACCAATCAGTATTCACAGAAAATATCTGGCGGTGGCTGTGGTATTTTTTTCTGACACACAATTTGAGGAATGAATCCGCGACACACACACTCGTTGACAGTATCCATGGACACAATTCCCGTTTCTCCAAGCGCGTACGTTTCTCCCATGTATAAACATTCGCCTGTAAACATATGTACGAGCAAACGTTAGAGATGAACTCAAAATGTTTTTAAATTAATGTGATGTTAAAGGATGAAGAAAAAGCTGAACGAGCTTCTGAATAAGCCCGAGGAAATAAAGATTTAATAACATCATGTATATGATGGACATTGGGTGGTTGTTACGATAGAGTATTGCAATGCTAAGGGCAGATATCAGCAAAGGCAATTAAACGGGGAGTAGTATAAATAACTGGAATAAACGAAACAATAAAAAAGAAATTATAACAAAGCAAAAATTAAGAAAAGAATAAAGTGAAATATATAAAAACCGTACCTATCAATGAGATAGGCCTTATATACATTTATATAGAACTACGGAGATCGCCACATAATGAAAACAATTACATTTTACATCTGTATCTTCCTTCAGTAGTATTTTTAATATCATCATACGGAAAACTGATATGGAAGCATTGCAACAAAAGTATGCATTAAAGAAGGAATCAGCCAAACCAATCGTTACAAATTAGGGGTAAAGATGAAGTAAACTATACAAAGACAAAATTTGTAGCATTTATCTTTTACCTATTAGTTTGTTTGATGTTATTTCCTTTTTTGGAACGCTGTGTTTTAACCAGTTGATAGCCCTAATGACCTTTTATTTGTTGACGGGCCGTTAAGAATGACATAATGATAACACAAAAACAAAATGATATACAGAATATTACTATATTTGACTACGTCTTTCAATTTACACGTAGACGAATATGTAAGACGTTTACATAAAGCATATAGGCAAACATTTGAAAACAATAAATAAGAACGCAAATATGAAATCTTGAAAAGTTCATCGTTTGTCAATATCCAACCTACCTGGACATGCCATACAAACTCGGTTGTAAGAAGGCTCTGGTACCTCCCCGTTTCCACAAACAGAAAATTCCGGACAGGGGTAGTACTTGCAATACGTGCAATTATCATCAGAAATGCACCCCACCTGGTACCCCTTTACGTTCGGGGGCTTATTTCTGGGTTTGCAATACCTCACACATTTGCCATACCATGCAGGAGGAGTCCCTCGTGGTACTGTCAACAGACAGTGAAAAACGTGCAAAAATATTTTATCGCTGAGACAGAACTGATATATATTTGATATTTTTATTACCTGACATTCAATCAATTACCAACTTAATACAAGCTATAGCCATTGCTGGCTTTATCACATTTTAGTATTCTCATTCCATGCTTAAATGGTTTTCACTCCGTACGTTAATAAATTATATTTCATAACATGAGCAACATTGATGGCTTGAGTTATCTTATTTTAATTAAAGAAACTGTAAAAGCGCAACGAGTCGTTCCGTCATTTCCATTAAAAGACGGAACTCAAAATTCATTTATGTTCTCGCAAGCTATTACAATTTCTTGTAAAACATTAGTATTTCCCCCAGAAATATCATTAGCCACGTGTACAAACACTTGTAATTAAACGATCAAATCTGACATGTTAGTTGAATATTTGTTGGAGAAATATGTTAGACATTAGTCTAACTTACTCTGACGTCCTACAAGTATGATGTCTTTGAAATGTGTGAAATTTTCCCTGGATATAAACATCACTATATTAGCAAGCATGGACATATTGGCAACTTGTTGGATACGATACATCCCTTATCTTGTAGTGTTAATCTCCAAATATTGGGAGAAGAGCTCATCCAGTTATATTAAGGACGATTCTTAATAAGGGAGGCATTAACATATACATGTAGCTTCTGTTTTCTCTCCTTAAAAACGGTATAATTAATGATGCCTTTTGCACATGTATATTACCATAGATTTAATTAAAAACCATTTATTATGCGATTTGGGTACATTTATGTTAGTTTTACAATGGGTTAATGACAATACATGTATTGTGATTTATGCAGACCTTTAATAAGATCGTCCAAAATATAAACTGGCAAAGAAAGATAAATATATGTATGTTTTAGTATCTCAGAATTAATAAACAAATCAAACGACATCATGACAAGCATTCTCTTTTTAAAAATAAAGATTACTCACCAACCATTTGGATGAACCATGACACAAACACCATTACGAGCACCAATCGATTCATGTTGTTATTTCTTTGTCTCAGAAATAAACCACCAGGAGTGGAAAACTAGGAGATCCTGGGTCACTAGGAAGATTCTCACAGTCAGAATATCAACGTCGCATGCGATGTAATGGGTAAATAATTAATGTTTATGTTAATATCCTGGATTTCAATTATTGCAGTAAGGTTTGGTCTATATTACATTTATTTCCAGACTAGTAAATTGATATTTATATGCAACCTTGAATCATGTTTAGTATTACTTAAGCCGTCTTTTCCAGTCATTTGTGTAGTTGATATTAATATAGATATATATATATGTCTAGGTGTCTCAATTAATTCCACGCAGGGTCACAAAATTAATCTATTTACACAGAACAACTTACAATTATGTTTAAATTTTAATACACTTGATGAACGGCGCGTATTCTCATTCTCGCAAAATGTGGGACATGCCACCATGGTGATGATTTTGTTTGAAAACAATTTTTATTTTTACTTAATTACGAAATAACGAATTATTTGTCCTTTTTTATTACAAATTAGACAGTAAATGCTTCATTTGCATGATGAATAATTAAATATTAATTCACTTAAAATACATCTAAATATTTAATTTAATAATGTTTACACATGAAGTTAATATGATAAATCAAAGCATGGACCTATGTATTGAGAGAAAACCATATTTCGTAATTATCATAATTCTAGGAATCATAAATGATTCTCAATATCTAATTATCTAAAACGAAATTCAAGCATATGTGTATATTCTGAGTCATCCCTCTATAAAAGGTGGCATGTGAGGTTACGTCCAACATCGGGTATTTAAATTCACTTGTAAAGTCGTCTCCCTGCAAAATCAAAATAGTGACATGCTTAAATAAGCAGAGCGCAGCTCCCGGAAGCTTCCGGTGAAGCTCTTTAAAAAGCGGAACTCGCCTTGAGGTGAACAGAGTTGCCTCCCATCCCATATGTGTTACCAGAGACAATCATACGGTCTTTAAAACAGTATTCCTATTGATATAAGTAGTTACCATTGAACAAAAGGGACACGTAGTGACAATACTAGTACAAGATACTTCATACATTTGTACAATACTTGTTAAAGCTATTTCTTTTCAATTTAACTGATAATGATTAGACTTTACGTTGCTTATGTTAATAGATGAAATGCATTAACCTTCAGTCTTCCTATATTAAATATTACGAAGACATAATATATACACATACATTCAAAACGATAGCGTCACAATATAAAGGCCCTCAGTTACCTAGTGTTGAAAATCAAGTGCATTTGTCTAGCCGAGCTAGTTAAGCGATTTACATTCAATATACATATTAAGCTGAGTAACCGGTAATTTATCGTGTGTAATAAGTAATAAAGGGCGAAGACGATAAATCAATATCACTTGGCTTCATTATGTCTAATCGAGGAATCTCCAGAAAAAACAAAGAAACAGTAACCGGCGCATTCTAAACTCTTTTTAGCAGAAGTTTTATTGTGAAAAGTTTAAGTACTTTTTACTAAACAACAAAAAGGCGGGGACGCGTCATTTGTAAAAAATAAGGCTAACATGTTTTTCGTTTCATTTCAATTCTGGATACTCAATCCGTCGTCAGGATAAAGATGGCGATAGGACTAAGACAATATACATAACCTATTGGAGCCTTCTCTATAAATACAGACATATTTTACAAACACATCAGTGAAGTGGTCAGAAATTTACAGAATGAAATAAAGTAACATTGCTTTACAGAAACATTTGAAAGAATGATATACATTCATATATATATATGAATAGAAAGGAACAATGGAAAAACTGCCATCAGTTATCTTTAATGAGTGAAAATGTGTTAATGAATGCGTCAAGATTAACTTTGAATGTCCCTTTAGATGGAGACAGGAATAGACTCAAAAAGCATACACAGTCTCATACTATGCTGAATCCATAAAGTAAACCTAATCGTAGACGATATTTGGAGATTAAATAAATGAAATATAGAATTTACTTAAAATACATGTCTGGTATCGGTTAGGAATCTCTGAATGCTCAAAAAACAGATTTAATCATATCAGGTGTGTGGGAGGTAATCAGTACGTAGAGGTTTGAAATAATTCATGGCAGAAAGGAAGTTAAAGAGGAGTTGTCTTATGGATATTGTCAGAGGACAATGGAGAAAGAAGCGAGTACAACCATCAACAGGATGACCACAATTCAAGGTAGCGCTATCAACCGGATTATCGAACACAGAATTATATTTTTTCTTTCTGATTCTAAATTTTATTCAAAATATAAGTGCATCAGTAGGTGGCTGTGACAAAAGGATTTTTATTGTACTTATGGATGTCATTGTGGAAAACAAGACAAAATTTATTATTCCACTCACACAGGTTTTTCTATAGAAATAAAACGGTCGATGTAATGTTGAGGTACCGTTAGCGTATATCAAAGACAGTATCGTGTCGAAGAGTATAATGATAAGAATATTATTAATAAAATTGAATATAATCGGTTACATTAGAAGGACATATGTTATTTAAAACTATGATGTAGTTGTCATCGTTGTCCTAATGGAGTCGGGCCAGAATCTTTGTTGATCAGTGATATAGTGGTGAGTTACGTTAATAGAAGAGAAACTATGCTGTTTGTTTTACCGTTCGGTGGCCCTAATGACCTTTTATGTGTTGACGGGCCGTTAAGAATGTAATAATAATAATAATATAATGTCTTGGTTGATGATAGCCAGAAGGTAAAGCATCAGCATTTTATCTCTAACAGTAACGTTATCTATACGAATTGTTTAAGATCAACGTTTATAAACAAATAATAGTCGCAAAGGGCCACTGTTTTCCGTACGGAATAACTTTATCAATTAGAGAATTGTAATTTTTAATAGACATTTGTCTTTTGCCTCCAGGATTTAAGTGAAAATTCATTTCGAAAAGTTTTAGATTTATTCCGTGAGGTTGGGGTATTGGTTTTCTTAGCGTCAAAATGCTGATGATTTATATGGCCTATTTTTAGTCTCATTCCATTAGTCATCGAGATCTTATGTTCTAAGTGTTAGTTTTATCAGGTACAAATAGGTCAATAGCATTGAACATTTTGCGAGTAGGAAGATAATTCAGTTCATTGATGTCACATTTCAATTGAAGATTCCAGTGGATAGAATAAAGTAATCAATTTGCTCCATCGCAATTAGTTTTATGTATACATGCTTCGTCAAATATTTGAAATTTGAATTAGCACTAATTGGACACATGTCTCAAGAGAAAGGGAATAGTACAGATTTGTTTTTGTCAAAGTTAACGCTATGAATAATAAAAATATTCAGACATATTGAGGTGTGAGGAAAAGTCCTGTCCTTGTAGGTTCATTTATTGAGTTTTTAAAACAAATCTTTAAATCAAGGTCTATGATGACGACATAAATTGAGTTTTCCCACCAGAATTACTTCCCTTTGTAAATCAATTATATCACCCAATGATGCTAATGATTATCAAATGAATTCGGGGTCTTCAGAATAGAAACAATTAGCATGGTCTTAGTATGAGTGGTTCCTACAACCTTTAGTGACTCCAAATAATTTCATTTCTAAATTGATACATCAATGTGATATTTAAAACACACATACAGTATTTAGTATTCGGGGCCCGACTCTGACTGACTGCAAGCAGGAAAGGAATCGTAAATAGAGGGAAGCAACAATAGAAGGGGTCGGGGCAGTTGTGTGGTCTGATCTGACCAGTTAATTGGATATAGTGATATAATGAAAGGATTACATTTTTACTGGGTGGTTTTGAATACTATCGAATGTATCATATTCATTAAGCGCAAACCAATTTTAAAAACAAAACACTATGCGACTGTATGTTTTTGATAAAATTTCCATTAAAAATGTGTAAACATTGCTACAGGTTTTCATAGTTATCTATAAGTTTAATTGAATGAATTGTTACATATTATTTTACTGCATTGTATCTGTGAACGAAAACATAACAGGTCCCTATTGTCATTTAAATTGAGGCTAACGGAGAACATCTGCAGGTTACTAGTCAATCTGTACTTCAGGTTTAAAACGTCAATCTTACCGTAATTCTAGATATTCTGAAATCGTTCCTCTTCTGCCAATTCATCTTTGATGGAAAACTGGCTTAAAAGAAGCACAATGATAGAAATGTATTAAAATGCGAATGTAAATGAGTAATATGAGCTAAACTCTAGGAAATCTTATCATATGAAAGACTTTTAATACGAGGAACATAGCCTGACTTTATAACTGATCTTCAATATATATTAATATGTACTGAACGTTTTATAGAACAACAAAGAAATTACTAACCTGTTAACAGAACAAAAGAAATATTTACATGAAAACTACAAACACGTATACTAACGAGCATAAAACTCACGATCAATTTCATCAAATCGCCTGAAATCCTGTGTTGTGAACTGGTCTATCGATTAAAGGATAAGAGTCTCCTGTACGTTACCTTATTGGGAACTTACCTCTTCATCTTGTGGTCGTAAAGATCCATTGTACTTGTTTTTGCATTGCCTTGTCGGGTACCAACAAAGTCCTCTTGATTAAATGGATTGACTTGACATTTGAACAACCGTATATATGATCTTAAATAGATATACATACACTTTTGAATTGTTGTCCAATCACAGTTAAATGTACCATTAATATGTTTGACGTAAAAGGCAAAACACAGCATAATGAGATAATTTGACCCTGGTTTTGACAAGTATTTTACAGTTCGCAAATTTGTATGTTTTCTGGAAAAAAAAGTCGTATAGCTTGTCTTTTGTCTTGATTTCATCGCACTTGAGATTGGATGCTTCAAACCGTATCGCGCGCGGACAATACGCATGAAATTACTGTGGTATTTTGTCTTGATTTTATCGCACTTGAGATTGGATGTTTTAAACCGTGTAGCGCGCGGGCAATACGCATGAAATACAGTGATCTTTCCTTGTTCATATTTTGTTCTATTTTCACCGAATGTTACTTTGACTTCTACTTTCCTGTTGTTTTGTTGTTGATACTCTAACAACTCTGTTCGCAGCAAAGAGATCAATTAGATGGATATTTTTAATCCTGCTACGTGACTACGTATACCAGGTATAGAGTTGAACTCAATATTTCAGTCATCATACATTCTATTTGAATTTTTTTTTTCAATAAACAAAGGTAGTTCCAAAACAATATGTCACTTTATCGTAAAGATACTTATTCAAAGTTTTATGCAATTATAAAAAAACCTTGAAGAAGAAAATCTTTGACTCAAAATGCTTGGGACAAATTCCCAAAGAAGAAAGCACCAGGCAAATTTACAGGATTTAGCGAAGCTAAATACAACTCTTCTGGATTAGCACATATCTATTAGGACATCTCTGTTACAAATGACGTAGTTATGTACTCGTCAATTAACGTTAAAAGAGGAAAATTGCTATATCAAAGCATTCCAGTAATGTCATTAAAAGGAAAGATGTTATATGAACAGTATAATTAAGTGATGATGTTACTTCTTTAAACGCTCAAATTACTCATTAGAGATGACAGAGATAATTTGCCACTAACAGATCATGGAAAGAGAACATGAATATGTTACGAAAAACATTAAAACATAGAAGAAAATACATACATCGACGTCCCATTGGCAGCATTATCAGCATTATTGTTCTAAAGGTACATGCGTGTAACTTTTTTAAATTAAGAGAATTATCTTAACATTGGCTCGAACATTTAGATTCCGATCATAAGTCTATATTAAGGTATTTCTATATAAGCATGCTTAAAGGAGAATACATTATTTGAATAATTTCTCACACTTTATCAATTAACCTATGTATTTCTTTTTTCTCCAGCTCTTATACAATAAAAATATCAATTGTTTTACAAATTCTTTTGTATAATGTTAAAGTGCTTCTGTAAATCCTCACGTAAGCGATGAAATATGTATTCGATGTATTCCTATCGAGTAGAAGTATAAAATTATATATCATAATTATACTATATTATGATTTGTTATATACAATACAGAAAAAAAACAGAACTAGTTACTAGGAGCCAATAAATTATGGTAACAATTGCGGGAAGAGCAATTCTGGTGATTAAAGAAACTACGTACAAAAGTAAAGCAAACATGCCATAGAGTTTATATCTTGTAAATTAGACCAGCAGCTTGTAGGTATCTAAATATTATACATAGGTACGCTACCTATACCACTCCTATTTTACATAGTTCCGGTAGTATTTTCAAAACGATATGTGACAGTTAAAATTCAACGCAAACCATTAAAGTTTGAAATCTCCTGACCTGTTATCTACTGCCTCTAGCCTCTGTGCCTCAATACATAAACATGTGTGTTGGTAGACAACCGTGGCCAGGGATTCGTTAATTACATTTCAAATTTAATGCATTTTAACTTGCAATAAATTACAATTATTCGCCGTAAAATGACTATTAATTTGCTATCATCTTGTATCCTTGATTAATATCGTAATTGCAAACAGACACACAGAAAGTAAATAATCACGACGACAAGTGCTTATGTATAACGAAGACAAAACATGGGAGGATGAGGCCAAAATGACATAAAATATGAGATATGTTGTGTCGTCTATACAGGCGCCAAACATAGGCACGCCGTAGTTTTTCATAATGCAAAAGACACTTGAGTGTCACAAAATATGCATATTAATTCAAAGATAGGATTTCATTTCAATATCTTGTAAGTTTCGTATATTTTTTATAACATTGTTTAAAACAAAACAAACTCGTTCGTTTGTCACCTTTTATTACAGCTCGCGATATATCATTCATTAATGTAATTGAATATATAACTGCGTATGCAGACATTTCATCACAACAATAAAATTGTATTTGATTTTTCAATAACTGCAAACTTAGTTTACCATATTACATAACCATTAGATGTTTAATTGGCAGGACGATATATTGTCAACAAACAGACCGATCGTGATTCAATAAGTGTTTCGACGAAGAATGTATCGTCGAGCCACGCAGTGCCGATAGCTGTTATCAAGTTTGTAGTAAACATTAATAGATTCAGCAATATCTAGAGCAGTAGACACCTGCATTTGTTTTCATAATTTGAAGCAAAGTTTTAATATAAATTAATGTCACACGCCACAAAATTTTCTCGGTGAAGGGTTTGGTTTTTTTGAACAGCGCACCTTTCCTACATTCTGACATTGGCATTCATTAACACCATCCACTGCCTTAAACCTGTCCCTCCTGTTAAATATCTTGCCAGCATACACACAAGTACCTGGTTGAAATATAAAATACGTATATACAAAAACTAACATTGTAAAACGCCTGGTCAAATAGATGATTTAATAGTTTATTTCATTGTGTCAGTTAGCAAATAAGAAAATTATAACGTATTAAGTATTGGTGTGTAATTGTGTATACACCACAGATCATCACAAGCATTATATAAACTGTAAATAAAATATACCCCATTGAGGTTATCATGAGAACAATAGATCTGATCGATAACCATCAACCTCAACTCGAAGCTGCCCAGTGATATATGATGTAGATTTCGCTATGTTAAGTCATTGTTATGTTATGAGCATTCTCCACTCTTTTCTGGACGAATTCCACATTCCATGTTTATGTTGTACAATTCAATGAGATAAGTCCGCCATGTTAACTCATTACATTGAAAACACTTGCAAACAAATCGAGTCCCCCTTTAATGATATTTCTCAAATTAATTAACATATTTCAGGATTTCAATCAACTTTCAGACAGAGAAAAAGCCTTGCTACACTTTATCGATACATATCAATCCGAATACAAGAAAACTGAGGAACAAGCATATTCCTTGACGAGCCAAGTGAAGTGATCATCATCATCCGATCTATATCGAGGGATCAAGAATAACACTGTTTACAAAACAATCCGCCGACATTTTTTTTCCAGACTTTCGTAATGTAGTAATCTTCAAGAGCGTTTTCGCTATATCAAAAGATAATGAATATCATAAAAGTAATATTGTAAAAACAAATCATTGTTATTCTCAGACTTTCCATGTTTTTTTTCTGAAAGTTTGGTAAAACAGTGAAAGACTAAATCTAACTAACCATGGTCAATTGTATTGCATCTTGCACTTAAGAAGCAACGGTACCATACCTGGACATATCATGCAGTTTCTATCAAGAGTTGGTTCTGGGGGGACGACAACCCTTCTCCTTTTACATTCCTTTAGTTCTGGACATCCATAGTATTTGCAGTACACGCAATCATCCTCCACTATACAATACCGGAACATTTTTTTTATCCATGTGGGATGATGTGGATGACAGACTCTTACACACTCCCCCAATGTGCCACGTTTCACATAACCTGATGTAGTAAGACGGGTAATGTATCTGCATGTAAACAATACTATTTAGAACTTTCCTTTTTTGAAAATGACTAGGTTGCCTGTTAATGATAAGAATACGGACCTCCCACATTTATAGTGGATCCTCACATTCGCGGGAATCCATTTAAACAACATTTCAAAAATTCCTAAGACCTTTTGACCAATCTTCAAGTTCTTCTTTCAAAAAAAAAATTCCATCAGTTTTATAGAATTTTACTTTCAATTATGATTATGTTAACATTTTGTATATTTTTCACTTTCAGATATATTGATGACGTCTCATCTTAAAAAAACCCAATATATTTATTTGCCTCATATATCGTATACACCAGAAATGGAAATAAAAAATACGACAGATTCTTCTACAGTATCCATTACTTCGACCATTTCCGAAAATAATCTAACCAGGAGAGTTTCTACCGCGCTTTATGATAAGCTTGCTAATTTCAAGTTTCTTATTGTGAAATTTCTATCTCTAGATACCAACATCCTTACATCGCTAACCTAGGGGAATTATTTGTCGCATTGGTCGGGCTTTATCACAGTATCACTATTTACGTGGTTTCGAGAGATACCGATTGATGAAGATTATGAGGAAGTTTTACAGTCTCCAATGCCATATCACAATGCAATCTGTGAGTGTGTTTCATTTCATTATCTAAACCTGACGTCATAATGGGTTATATCCCGCACGTGTATTATGCTAAATATACCATAAATATATCCATTGAATTACAAGAGAAGCGTGACCTTGTGACTTTTATCATTTATGTACTATCTACAAATGTTTCCATAAATAACTTCAGTTGGTGAATTCGAAGGCAATCATCGCCCAAATCATCTTAAAAATCGATCATGTACACACCGATCGAGAAATTCAATGTGAATCAAGAACTCATGCTAATACGGGTTTGTTGCACTTAGCAGGAATCCTTTAACAGGATGAGGTTGTTTCTTAAAAGAATAACCTTATGTCCTTGATACGAAAGTACTGCTGTCTCTTCCCAGTTCATGTTTTAATCTTACAATGCCATTTTGTAAAAGACGGTGAATCATTATTATTACTAGAACATAAACCCCTGGACAAATGAAATAAAATAGCTCTTCATTTCTACTTTGTTAACAAATAACCAATGAGCTGTTATAAATGTTGGGCAGCCTTAGTTTTTTTTTTTATATAAACGAAGAATGATAATCATATTAAAAGATAAATGACTGTTTTCTTGATTTTTTCCATATATCTTGTCTCGGATAAAACGGTTGGATTTCTATATTTTTGAACTGCGTGTTTTAAGCGGTTTATCGAAACGTTGATTTTGATACTGGTACAGTAACATTTGAGTAGGTGATTTATGCGTCTTACACTTTAAACCTGGAAGGACTTTATAATCATTTTAACAGATAAATTATTCAATTATAATTTCATACCATGTAATAATCCTTATATTGCACCATGTCTTATTAAACAAATAATCCCTTAATAGAAAACATCACTCAGTTAAGACATATCGCATGAATATTTTGAAACAAGTGACTCATAGAAGATTTGATGTAAATATAATGCTTTAGAATATGCAAATTATAGGGACTCACAACGCCATGACTTTCACGAGCTTGGTGCTTTGCTGATATATATAGATCTATAGGCAACACAGGTTCGTATATACTTAACTTTTTGCAACTTGTACATTGATTTCCATACCAGGAAATATCATATTAATAAAAGTGCATAGAAGAATTTCTTAACAGCATGTATTGTAATCAACACCATTGTTTCTTCGGAGTAAGGAACACTACTACTTACCGGATGAAATTGTCACACAAATCCACAGTACGCATGCGCAGAGGATGGTATTCATACTGCTATTCATGCTGTATGGACTGGTAACAACAACATATAGTAACAAGTTTGAAAATTGACATCGTAAATAACCCTTTTGCTAGAAATATGATATCAAACATTTTCTAGAAATTAAAAAAAACCCATTTCATTCGCGTAAAACCCAATTCCATTGGTCTTATTCTGCCTGTACTTACTTCTTTTATTCATATTTTGCCCTCATTTTATTGATTTTTGGATTATGGTTATGTTGGTATTTTCGTTTTGCTATCATAACATTATAAGCATACATCTGTGTATGTAACTATTCTTTGGACGATAAACATGTAGGTAAAATATACTAATTTTCTTATATTAGATAATTTCATAAGTACGCGTGTATATTCTCAATCGCGCAACCATTTAAATGACTTAAAACGTGACATTCAAGTTAGGACAAACCTGAATATAAAATTTTACACTTAGTGCCTTCCACCTTTAATATCGAAGATTGTACTTACAGGACAAAAGGTGGTTAATATAACTTTTTAATTACAATTTCGGCTCCATTATTCAACGAATTTCGTAATTGTAATGCAGACAATTACCAAAGAACATCAAGTACTGTACGTGTGTATGATATGCACTGAATAAAATCAAATGCATTACATAGTGGCATGATGGTTATGATTTTTATACTAAGAGATGCACTAGCTCAATATTTCAGCTGGTTTTTTTCTGATTTTCCTTTACCTGATAAGTTCAAAAGAACGTAATATTATGTAATGTCAATAGAGTTGACCACAAAATCTTTGTACCTGATAAATGTTTAGATGACATTTTTGTAATTGAAATCACTGTGGCAGGAAACTTCAGTCCTTGTCATGTTTAATTTTACCGCCGATTAGGATAAATATGATATTTACATCCACTATGTATGAAGTTAGTTTTTGATAGAATTTTACAAATTTTGAAGAAGTTTTGTTTTTTGTTTTTGGTGTTTTTTAAAAAGTATACTTATGTTTTCGAACTGTCTTTGAATAATTACATTCCTATGGGTTTACTTCTTTGGTGGATTCCTGCAATAATTGCCTTAAGGAGATTGTACATTGATTTTCTATATAATTATAAAAGAAAAAAACTGTATACATTCGGAAGATATAGAAGGAAAATGTCGTTAAGAGTCAAATGGGAGTAGTTTCGGTAGATGTGTGTATAATGACTTCAATCAGAAAACCTTACATTTACTTGATCAGTAAGTGACAAAAGAAAACAAGTTCATAGAGCTGCTAAATAAATTCTAAATAACGTAATTGTTGCAAAAAAAACAATGTATTACAATCTCACTTCACAAGCTAATTGAAACAAAGAATTAAAACTTTTCTTATTATCATTATCACATTTCATCATTTTCATAATGCGTTACTCTCTTAATTTGCTGGAAAGGTTAATGATGGAAACCTATTTTCTGACCTTTTTGAAATATGTTTTCATAAAAATTAGTAATTCAAAGTGATAATATGATAATTACAATTTTGTTTTAACACATGCTATGATAAATTGTGAAATGCAAAATACAGACCTTGGTGAATGGAATCCGATGGAAGTGAATTCGACTATCCCTATAGCTTTGCAGTATATATACTAATAGACAATATATGCTAAAATGATGACCTATGTAAATTAATCTTTATTATAATTTGTAATCACAGAAGACCTATGTTATAATGAGATGTCGACATCATCTCCTAAGTGGTATGTCTGGGTCGCTGTCAAGCACCTTCTATAGTGATTAAACTCATTAGAATATACTTTTTTTTCTTTCAAAAGCACAAATCAACAGACGATAACGTTACACTCTGTTCGAATGATTCATCCATTGATCATTGCATGTGCTTGCATATCTTTAGTGAAATCCATTCAGATAAGTGACACGTTTGTGTATTGAACATTGTTCTTGTTGAGATCTCCCCATAATTTATGTTGACCTTTTCGCTTTGAAAACGGAAATTGACAGGTTCTTGTCATACTGTCATGATATAAAACAGGTATGAAATTTCCTACATTCTAAATATTCTGTCTAATTATACAATAATGAATGAAAATATTTCAAATACAGGGCACGTGCAAATTTTTATTGCTTTTAGAGGCGTCGACGAAAATTTAATATCAGTTAACTTAAAAATATATCATATTACTATTTTCATTTTAATGAATTAAAGTCATTTCCATATCCTATTCTCTATGATCATTTTATGGTTTAAATAACAAAATTACTCTCATCTGGACGAAAGGTAGGAGAGAGATTTAATCAAATAAAAACATGAAACAGGACCACAAAAAGGACTTCACGTGGCCGTGCAGATGACGTCATACCAGTTCACTTCCGATAGATCGCTGGCACTGTTGGTCACTCCAATAAACATGAGTGTAGTGTTTAATGTTTCCAATGAAGAGTTTAATCGGATATCGAGACATTTCGGATGGGTTGCAGTGGACATATAAGGTCCTGAGTCTTGATAATAGCTTCTGGTAACTATTTCAAAAAGTGCATGGGATCTTCATCCATCCATAATAATGCATATTACTAGAAGCGGGGTATCAAATTAATCTAACAACTAAGACCATCGTTTCCGTTGCGAAAGATTGGAAAATCAACGCACAGAAATACAAAGCTCATACTCACCTGTCTTCGTATAAAATTAATAGTTTTGCCTACAGATCTTGAAATTAAGTTTAGAAAAGAATAATTCACATCAAAATAACAAGAAAATTCTAACATGTCAACATAATCAGAATCCAAATTCAATTAAACGTGAAACAAAATATGAAAAGAAAACGATTTACACTAAATCGTGGACAAACGTACAAGAAGAAAAAGAATAAAGTCAATATAGTTACGTTCTCAAATGAGAACAAAATATACAACAACGAAACTAACATGGAAATTAACGATCATCAAACACAGCCATATCGCACACATAAATATGATATTTCTCAATGAGATTACTGTGACGACCGTACAACTTCCCCATGATTTCATCAACATGCATCTGTTAAAACCCAGTGTTAACAGTGTGTCAATTGACAGAAAATCGTGATATTTGGAACAGGCCATTGACGATCAAATCAGCTGCTACATGAAAACACCGTGGGTTGGGGATACAGGGATGCTGCTTACAAAGAATGAAAAAACATAATTGGGAAATTGAAATCATCACGGTTACTAGAAAGTTTGAAATGCTGAACATGTTAGTTGCGATTTCGGCAACGATGGAGATAAGTGTCTATCGTGTCATTGATTTCGAATTCTGGTGTGAAAATACTTCTTATTTGAAAACAATATGCTTTAAAATTTCTGAACGTAAAATTAAACGACTTTGCAAGGTTGTTGTGTCCTGTTTTGATAAGCGCATTTGAAAACAGAAACAGGTCAGACAACATAGGTACATTTAGCTCCATATGTAGGCCAAAGATCTGTTGGAAGATGTCACTACCAAATGCGGCGAAGATATCGTCAACCAGAAATTCGATGATTTTTCATGTTTTCCTCCTTCACATATTTCGTCTTAGATTTGGATGTGATTTATACAAAATCTGCTTCAGTGTAATTCAAAACTATTTATTGGTACCTCTGTTCAACTTTCGTGGAAAACAAAGCTCCCATAACAAGAGAATAAAGCCACTCTGTCATTTTAGATTGGGGTATGGTGGTATACAGAGTGGAAAAACCAACGTTCTTATGGAAGAAATGAATCTTAAAAGTGGTTGTTGAAGATTGGTCCAAAGCCCTTTGGAATTCCAATACTGTTAATTCCACTTCTTCAGTAAATAGATTCACAATCAGACTATGACCCAGATTTGATAGTACTAAAATGGTACACAGTATTTGTGCCAAAGGTTCGGTTAAACAGCTAAAAAAGCCAGCGATAGCAATAAAACGTTGTTAATATGAATTCAACACAAACGCGGAGGGTCGATATCCTTATCTTTAATAGGCAATCGAAATTATTTTGATACTGAATCATGATTAGCCAATACTTCTTCTTTTAAAAGACTGGGTATTGTTTATGTGTGGTTTCCTTCATGATCAAACAACCATGGTTCCGTTTGTATATAGAAAGTGAAATCGTACAAGGATCAAATTATTAGACACCTTACCTTCAGCACAGTAACAGCTGTCATGCTAGACTTGAAGTGTGGATTAAACATAAAGATCGAGGAACACTAGTCCGTGTTTTATTTTTATTTTAGATTTCAGACTGTAAATCATAAGCATGATGGATCAACAGAATAAACGGCGCTAAATAACTCGTATTTTATTATCATAGATAATTTGTAATGTATTTACAGTTTGTTTGATGACTGAAGCTGCTAATGAATATTCTGCTTCAATAACATATAAAGATCGATCCTATATTAGATAGATACACCTTGGCTGTAGCTCCTGGAGTTTTCGAGTTATTGATGATTACAAGTAAGTAATTGATACAGTATAGCCAAATAGTTCATAAAATTAGAAATCGTGATGTTTGGTGAAAATGTATAGGCATATGATCATTCCATCTTTAAAGAATAGTAAAGAGAGATTTCCATGTATCTATACAACATCAGATATATTAACGATGACAGGGACATTAATGACGGTAGAAAAAAATAGATTGTCAGTATCTCGTTATAACAACGGCTAACATTTATTGTACAATATGTCAGTGTCTAAACTTTTGACGAAACGATATGAGTTGTACTTGTTTTTTCACTGTAATAACTAGTACACAATAAAAATTACCTAAATATGTTTTTTACAATGACGTGATTTATCTAATTTAGATTCCTACACCTGTATGTTTACCTGTGCATTGTTATTGAGTTGGTCACGTGAGCGGGTATGCGAGTGTGAGCGGAACAGTGGACATTGACTGTCCAGGTGACCAGCACGCCTTTGTTCTGTTTTGGTTACCTGTTTGCCGATTTTATGGCGTGAGTGACTTTGTTTAGTCGTGGAAATGAAGCCCAGACATCTGACTGGGGTAAGTATTCTGTCTTTCTTTC